ATCCTCAATATATATGCCCCGAATGTGGGAGCTGCCAAATATATCAATTAATAACCAAAGTGAAGAAAATACTTAGATAATAACACACTTATACTTGGTGACTTCAATCTAGCTCTTTCTACCCTCGATAGGTCTTCTAAGCACAACATCTCCAAAGAAACAAGAGCTTTAAATGATACACTGGACCAGATGGATTTCACAGATATCTACAGAACTTTACATCCAAACTCAACTGAATACACATTCTTCTCAAGTACACATGGAACTTTCTCCAGAATAGACTACATGCTGGGTCACAAATCGGGTCTGAACTGATACCAAAAGATTGGGATCGTCCCCTGCATATTCTCAGACCATAATGCCTTGAAATTAGAACTCAATCACAACAAGAAGTTTGGAAGGACCTCAAACACGTGGAGGTTAAGGACCATTCTGCTAAAAGATGATAGGGTTAACCAGGAAATTAAGGAAGAATTTAAAAGATTCATGGAAACTAATGAGAATGAAGATACGACCATTCAAAATCTTTGGGATACAGCAAAAGCAGTCCTGAGGGGGAAATACATCGCAATACAAGCATCCATTCAAAAACTGGAAAGAACTCAAATACAAAAGCTAACCTTACACATAAAAGAGCTAGAGAAAAAAACAGCAAATGGACCCTACGCCCAGCAGAAGAAGAGAGTTAATTAAGATCGGGCAGAACTCAACGAAATCGAGACCAGAAGAACTGTGGAACAGATCAACAGAACCAGGAGTTGGTTCTTTGAAAGAATTAATAAGATAGATAAACCATTAGCCAGCCTTATTAAAAAGAAGAGAGAGAAGACTCAAATTAATAAAATCATGAATGAGAAAGGAGAGATCACTACCAACACCAAGGAAATGGAAATACAAACGATTTTAAAAACATATTAAGAACAGCTATACGCCAATAAATTAGGCAATCTAGAAGAAATGGATGCATTCCTGGAAAGCCACAAACTACCAAAACTGGAACAGGAAGAAATAGAAAACCTGAACAGGCCAATAACCAGGGAGGAAATTGAAGCAGTCATCAAAAACCTCCCAAGACACAAAAGTCCAGGGCCAGATGGCTTCCCAGGAGAATTCTATCAAACGTTTAAAGAAGAAACCATACCTATTCTACTAACGCTGTTTGGAAAGATAGAAAGAGATGGAGTACTTCCAAATTCGTTCTATGAGGCCAGCATCACCTTAATTCCAAAACCAGACAAAGACCCCACCAAAAAGGAGAATTACAGACCAATATCCCTGATGAACATGGATGCAAAAATTCTCAACAAGATACTAGCCAATCGGATCCAATAGTACATTAAGAAAATTATTCACCATGACCAAGTAGGATTTATCCCCGGGACACAAGGCTGGTTCAACACTCGTAAAACAATCAATGTGATTCATCATATCAGCAAGAGAAAAAGCAAGAACCATATGATCCTCTCATTAGATGCAGAGAAAGCATTTGACAAAATACAGAATCCATTCCTGATCAAAACTCTTCAGAGTGTAGGGATAGAGGGAACTTTCCTCGACATCTTAAAAGCCATCTACGAAAAGCCCACAGCAAATATCATTCTCAATGGGGGAGCACTGGGAGCCTTTCCCCTAAGATCAGGAACAAGACTGGGATGTCCACTCTCACCACTGCTATTCAACATAGTACTGGAAGTCCTAGCCTCAGCAATCAGACAACAACAAGACATTAAAGGCATTCAAATTGGCAAAGAAGAAGTCAAACTCTCCCTCTTCGCCGATGACATGATACTCTACATAGAAAACCCAAAAGCCTCCACCCCAAGATAGCTAGAACTCATACAGCAATTTGGTAGCATGGCAGGATACAAAATCAATGCCCAGAAATCAATGGCATTTCTATACACTAACAATGAGACTGAAGAAAGAGAAATTAAGGAGTCAATCCCATTTACAACTGCACCCAAAAGCATAAGATACCTAGGAATAAACCTAACCAAAGAGGGAAAGGATCTATACCCTAAAAACTATAGAACACTTCTGAAAGAAATTGAGGAAGGCACAAAGAGATGGAAAAATATTCCATGCTCATGGATTGGCAGAAATAATATTGTGAAAATGTCAATGTTACCCAGGGCATTTTACACGTTTAATGCAATCCCTATCAAAATACCATGGACTTTCTTCAGAGAGTTAGAATAAATTATTTTAAGATTTGTGTGGAATCAGAAAAGACCCCGAATAGCCAGGGGAATTTTAAAAAAGAAAACCATATCTGGGGGGCATCACAATGCCAGATTTCAGGTTGTACTACAAAGCTGTGGTCATCAAGACAGTGTGGTACTGGCACAAAAACAGACACATAGATCAATGGAACAGAATAGAGAACCCAGAAGTGGACCCTGAACTTTACGGTCAACTAATATTCGATAAAGGAGGAAAGACGATCCACTGGAAGAAAGACAGTCTCTTCAATAAATGGTGCTGGGAAAATTGGACATCCACATGCAGAAGAATGAAACTGGACCACTCTCTTGCACCATACACAAAGATAAACTCAAAATGGATGAAAGATCTAAATGTGAGACAAGATTCCATCAAAATCCTAGAGGAGAACACAGGCAACACCCTTTTTGAACTTGGCCACAGTAACTTCTTGCAAGATACATCCACGAAAGCAAAAGAAACAAAAGCAAAAATGAACTATTGGGACTTCATCAAGATAAGAAGCTTTTGCACAGCAAAGGATACAGTCAACAAAACTCAAAGACAACCTACAGAATGGGAGAAGATATTTGCAAATGACATATCAGATAAAGGGCTAGTTTCCAAGATCTATAAAGAACTTATTAAACTCAACACCAAAGAAACAAACAATCCAATCATGAAATGGGCAAAAGACATGAAGAGAAATCTCACAGAGGAAGACATAGACATGGCCAACATGCACATGAGAAAATGCTCTGCATCACTTGCCATCAGGGAAATACAAATCAAAACCACAATGAGATACCACCTCACACCAGTGAGAATGGGGAAAATTAACAAGGCAGGAAACCACAAATGTTGGAGAGGATGCGGAGAAAAGGGAACCCTCTTACACTGTTGGTGGGAATGTGAACTGGTGCAGCCACTCTGGAAAACTGTGTGGAGGTTCCTCAAAGAGTTAAAAATAGACCTGCCCTATGACCCAGCAATTGCACTGTTAGGGATTTACCCCAAAGATTCAGATGCAATGAAACGCCGGGACACCTGCACCCCGATGTTTCTAGCAGCCATGTCCACAATAGCCAAACTGTGGAAGGAGCCTCGGTGTCCATCGAAAGATGAATGGATAAAGAAGATGTGGTTTATGTATACAATGGAATATTCCTCAGCCATTAGAAACGACAAATACCCACCATTTGCTTCAACGTGGATGGAACTGGAGGGTATTATGCTGAGTGAAGTAAGTCAATCGGAGAAGGACAAACAGTGTATGTTCTCATTCATTTGGGGAATATGAATAATAGTGAAAGGGAATATATGGGAAGGGAGAAGAAATGTGTGGGAAATATCAGAAAGGGAGACAGAACATAAAGACTCTCTAACTCTGGGAAACGAACTAGGGGTGGTGGAAGGGGAGGAGGGCAGGGGGTGGGGGTGAATGGGTGACGGGCACTGAGGGGGACACTTGACGGGATGAGCACTGGGTGTTATTCTGTATGTTGGTAAATTGAATACCAATAAAAAATTAATTTATAAAAAAAGCAAGATGCTACTTGCAAATCATTTCAGAAATTAAATATTTACTATGCTGTAATTTGGGAGGGGAAATATGGGAAATATTTTCCATGTGTAAATTTTTGATCATGACTGCTGATTAATTTTATTGGTCTTTAAGAGTAGATAGTTTGTCATGACACTTACTAAGAGGATAACAGGCTTTTGAAATAATTTTTTCTAAAGAATAATAGTACTTTGTTACATAACCTATTTCAGAGTGACTAATAAATTTTTATCCATTAACATCAGATATAGTCTTTAAAAATGCAATCTAATGAAGTTGATTTTTTAAACCACATTTCCTACCAAAAAAAAGGCCCATAAAGCCATTTGAAATGTTTATTTTTGAATTTTCCTTTACCTTGTAAAATAGTAGAGTGTTAAAATTTGAAAATGATTTTGAAACAATTTAACTCCCTCACTTTGTAGAGAAAGAAGTTAGAAAGTTTATTTGTGTCATCTAAAATCCTACTGCTAATTACTGACAGAACTCTCAACTAACATGTGTCAAAATCTATTATAAAATGTTCTCTGTCACAGTGTCTTTGGAATCCTTATAATAAGTATTTGTTTTTTCCACCTATCCTGATGACAGATGTCTTGCTTTTTTTTATTTGTCTGCTTATTATTTTCACTAAATAAACTTTATTATGTAGTCTGCATTTCTATATCTTTTCCTGAAAACAGATAAAATATTTGGAGAGGATTGCTTTGTATGTGCTGGTCTGGTATTAAAATATAAAAAAAGCACTATTCACCCAATATATATTTTTGTCTATTTCACAGGATGTTTAAAATTTCTCACCCATATCTTTGACATAAGGATCCTGCTCCAAAGGATACCAGCCAGCATCAGTAGTATAAAGAAGAAAGATAAGGATATATGTAGACTCCCACTGACATTTTTAGTTTGCTTATATTTTTATAAATCCTAGGTCATGGATAACTTCTGCTAGATACGAGTGTTTTTTGCTTGGTTTTGTTTTTTGTTTGTTTTTGTTTTTGTTTTACTTATAACTGCAGAACATTTTAATTCTAAAGAGCTTTAATACATGAAAAGCCCCATAGTTTCCAAATGCCCATCAAAGAGGGAATGAATTATCAGTCCCATCAGAGCTGGGGAAAAATTTTTTAAAGGGGGCGGAGGGATGAAGGCTGACAACCATTCTCTTTCAAAAAGATAAACACTGTGTCCTCAGATAACCCCTCAGAATGTTACTTGATATGAATAGGCAAGAGGGTAATAACTGTCCATGTTTGCCTTATATATTGTATTGGGCAATTAAATGCCAACTGAACTATTCAAGAATGACTTGCTAAAACGTTGAAAAAATGAAAGACTCCGTCCTTGTCATAGACGGCCACTTCTGTGGAACATTCGGTGCACATGACCAGGTGATAGATTTCTTCCGCTTGTGCCTCTGTCTGCTCTGCAGTGTCTTCGTGGTTAGACCTCATCTTCTTATGGCCTCGCCTTTTCTTCCTTTTCTCTGGGATTTTTGTATCTTAGAACCTCCTCTTTGTTGACAGAACAATTAATCACAAACATTGCTCTATACTGAGTTTTGTATGATTCATGCCTTTGGCAATCAAGACATAGTGTGGTCATGCAGGCAGGGCAATTCAAGACAGCATCACTATTTGGAATAGGCCGTTGTTGATATGGTCTCTGTATTCCAAGACCATGGTAGCCTCTTCTTTGTGCATCAACCCAGGCCTGATCTCTGTTATCTTTTTCAGGATCATATAATAACTCATCATTTGTTGGAATCCTGTGTCGTTTTTTCTTTTTCTTCTTGGTTACCTGTGCTGTTTTGTCCTCATCTTCAGAATCAGAATCAAAATATATATCATCATAGTACTTTGTCAGAGCTGTTCCAACTTTTCCAGTTCCTGAGGAAGACCCTGTTTCCAGAGAGGATAACTTGTCCTCCATTGTTTTTATGGTGGAATTTAATTCAGCTTCCATTTCTTTTTCAAATTCATCTTCACTAGAGGATTCACTTTCTCCAGTAAGACATTCTCTGACGAGTTTTCTTTTTTGGTCAGGAGTTCCATGTAAAAGCACATCCATTTCATCTTCAGAACTGCTCAAAGTGGGTGGTCGCTAGGCTCTTCCACTGCGTAGGGGTCGTACTCATTCTGGAGCTGGCTCATGGTGACCTACACCCTCGGACACAGACTACAAGCATCCACACAGCATCTGTTTATGCCACAGGTACCCGGGCTAGAGCCCTGGTTTTGTTTTTAATTCTTACTTGAACTATTACTGATTTAATGGCACTTCTTAATGGTTAGAAAACTTAATCTGCATTTGCCAATTTTTCTCCCTGGATTTTGTTTGTGTTTTCTTCCTTTTCTTTGGAATTATATAAAATGTAACTATTTAGATGTATTACCATTTCATATCTTTAAAATTAACTTAGCAGCTATAAAATAGAACTAATAACTTTATGTTTATTATTTTGAGTTATCATATACCCACCCCTTTCCTGTCAGAATTTCTCTCCATTATAATTTCATTACAGATGTAATCCATGCTTTGAGAAATATGAGATATTTGTGATGCAATGCTTCTATTTGACATCTCTTTTGTAGTGCTTTACAATTGAATTAGATTTGTATTATCCTTTTCAGCATGCTGACACAAATGGCATTTTATGTACCTATCACTTATTGTATAATATGCATTTTGCATTTTTTTTGCAAATGGAATTGGAAAGTGAATTGCCTTTATATGATTTACTGCTATTAATGGGTGCTATAAACTTCAAAAATAAGTACAGTTCTATTCATATTTATATTTGCAAATGGTTTCTATGGGCTTTATGGGAGAGGTTTCTGTGTGGATGATAAAAGGCATTCTCTCTGCTGCAGCTTATAACATGCTGATAATAACACTGCATTTATTAGGAACATCACTGCTTTCCTGAAATTGATGCCAGGGAGCTACAGCTGCCTCTATCACAGAGCACCTCAACTACTGAATTATATATGATCTTGTGTAGGACATCATATATTTGATCCTTAGGGTGTTTTAAGAACCCTTTAATAAGAGATATAGCTAGTAGAAGATGCGTTGTTTGATTCTTGGGTGTAAATAGCCTCAGTGTTAATCAAATACATTGAAATAATGAAACAGTACTTGCTGCTTATTCCTTAGAAAGTTAAGTTTGTCACATTCTTTGAGAAACATGCTAAAAAGCTTTAGCGAAAAGTAGTTTGGGGGCACAGTTGTTCATTTTCTCTGCCAAGTTGCTCAGGACAGTTTTTAACCTATTGCAGCTCTCTGTGTACATCACTTTGCATCATTTATTCTTAAAATACCCCTCAACTCGATCATAAACTTGATTATCAAAGTGGGCTTTAGGAGGAGGGCAAAAGTAGATTTTATGCCTGCTAATCTTTGAGTCCAATAGGTCTTATGCTATTTGTCTTTATAATTCAGCATGAAGGGGCACCTGGGTGGCTCAGTCACTTGAGCGTCCAACTCTGCTCAGGTCATGATCTCAGGGTCCTGGGATGGAGGCCCGTATTGGCTCCATGCTCAGTAGGGAGTCTGCTTGAGATTCTCTCTCTCTCTCTCTCTCTCCCTCTGCTCCTTCCCCCTGCTCATGCTTTAGCTCGCTCTCTCTCTAAAACAATCTTTAAAAAGAAAAGGAAAATGATTTTGTCAAAATTCTGTTTCATGAAAAATTGATACTGTTTATTTTTAATCCCATGGAAACCTATACTTAGAAAGGAGTCTATTAGGCAAAAAGCTTTGCATATTGTAAGCTTGATATTATGTTCAGAAGTGAAAAGTATCGCAGATGACTAAAATAATTGGGTGACAAAGTTCAAAGCACATCCTCAACTATCACTAAATGAGTCATTTAAAAACATTGAAAATAGAGCCTACACTGAAGTGATCCTCTGTCTCTGACTGGGCATCAGTAAAAGCCCATTTGGAGCATATTCTCTCTCCCAGCCCCACAGAATCCCTGACTCTGGTGCTCTGCATCCTTAGCTGAGATCTGGCTGCCATGCTCTTCAATGGGGCTACCCAGTTTTTCTTGCTTTTTTAAGAATTGTGCCATGAGCCAGATGTTTTCCAGTTTCTGTGTTCGAGAAGGCCTCATTTGTATATTTAATTTTCTAAATAACAGGTCTCCTGTTTGGAAATGGCATGCCAACTATGTAAAGGTGTTTACATTGATATACTTTAAAAGTGATCATTTCTCTCTATATTGTGGTTTGTTGGTAATACATTTACATTTAAAAGGAAGTAGCATCTGCACAATACATTAACTTACTGGTTTCAAAATTTTTATTTTAACAAAATATTATTTTTAGCTACTTTCAAAGAAAATCATATGTTTTCTCTATTATTTAAGACAGATAAGAGTTATTCTGGAGAGTAGAGGTGTGGCAGCAGCTCCTCTCTCTGACTTTTGCTTTTCCAGGTGGCACACAGGCATATGGAAAATCCCAAGGCTCCATAGAAAACAGCCTTCAAACTATTTCATTAATGTAATGCATTAACTAATGTTGGAAGTTTTAGAAATAGATTTAGGAAATCCTCTTTTTAAGCCATGACAATTGAGCTGAGTAAGAGGAACATATATATAATTACTTCAAGAGCCTCAACCTAAATAATTGTACGCAGATATTTTCTGGAATCTACAAAAGCATCTCAAATTAGAGAATTCATTGGATTAAAATTTGGTTAAGTGCAGTAATAAAGTGCTGATTCCTATATCTTGTAAAATTACAAAATGCCTTCCTATTTTTCTCTCTATATACCCCTTGCCATTATTTATTACATTGGTAAAAATCTTATTATGAAGAACTAAGAATTTAAAACAACTTCAATTTATAATTTTGAGTTTAAAAGAAAAGTATAAAAGGAGATCGAAAGCATAACAAAATCAGAACACTCATAGAACCCCTGAATTCTTCAGGTATTTCATTTTCTGCTTTCGGTGTCTACAGCTGAATGTCATCCTTGAATTAACCCAGCTGCCAGCTATTTTGCAGAAGGGGAAGGGGAAACAGGGCACATTAGAGATCTATCAATGTTGCATTAAAGGTATCTTTCAATTTTTCCCTCAGGGAGATGCACATTTTTTTATGGAATAGGAGAAACAAAGAGTGATTTTCCTGTAAGAAGTCTTTCCAGCTCCACCCAGAATTTTTTCCCAGGGATTTATGTCATGTCTCATTCTGAAAGGGCTAGAGATGGCTTAGAAAATAAAACATAGTGTGAAAAAAACAATTTAAGGCTAAAGCTGAAAGACACAAAACAAATGGTTCAAAATGCATGCGAGAGGAGGGAATTTAAAGTATTAGGTACCTGGTTTGACTAGAAGCTTTCTGATGGTTACTACAAATAAGAGAAACATAATGGACTGTATAGCCTTTATTTTTATTCAAAAATAGAAGACACAATCACACCTAGAGATGGACTTTTTTTAGCGTTAATCTCAAGCAGGAATTTGATCCCTTGCTTACAAAGGAAGAACCCTGAACTTTGTGTGAACAGCCTGTGAACATGGGATGGAGAGAGTGTGAAACAAGTAAATAAAACCCTATGTAGTGCCTTCAAGTACTAATACAGAAACCTGATCTAAACACAAAAGATTATGTCTGTATATTTTGATTGCACTGCTAAGACATAAAGAGCTTGGGATTTTTTACAATTGTTAATCAAACACGTTTTTCACTAGTCACTTAGCTAGTCACTTTGTCATCCCCTTTATTCTCCACTTGGTTCTTAAATTTGGGCACTTAATCATGAGACTGATAAGACCTTCATTACTAATGAATGGAAGTACAGAACATACAAGTGGCTTGCACATGGACCACTTGTGGTTAGCTGAGAGCAAAGCCAGATTTTCTAATTTCCAGTGTAGGACTTGGTCTCTTAGCAACATGCCCTTTCTGAGTGCTAGTTCAAATATCCAGTTCCTTCACTGAGAATGAGATTACTTCTAGAAGCCAGTCTTTGCTGCAAATTAAGTTTTGTCAAGTGGTAGTTTTACAAAGTCTCCTTACCAGATGCAAAAGAGATTGTTAAAAATTTGTTTTGACATTCCTTAACATAGAAGCAAAGATTATCAATGTTCTTTTCTCCCCACTCCCAAACTATCAAAAGCATGGAATTGTAGGACCAAAAGAAATATTCTTCAGGAATGGAAATCAATTGAAAATGTAAGAGAGAACTAGAGACTGAGAGAGGAAGACTAGCTAATCAATCAGGAGCATAGACCCAGCAGTTCTGGAGGATTTGAAACTGAGGTAACAGTTTAAAAAAAGAGAAACAGATTTGTGATAGTAAATTTATAATAGCATTAGACAACTATATGAAACTATCATATGTGTATTTATTTTAATATTTGATCATGTGTAAATATTTAAGTGTTGATGAACACAAATACTCAGAAATAGTAATTTACTGAATTGTACTTGATATAGAATATCCAATAATATTAGAAATATACCATACCCAGGAGTATCCTGCTCTGATTGAACTAAGATTGAAACTATTGATCCCTTTCTCTATATTTGGTGCTTTATTCATTATCTCAGTGTGGGATAGGCTTTCTTGCCTCCAACTTGACTTAAGTTATGAAAAATATCTTCTGAGATATTGAGTCTAAAATTTCTTTATTCTTCGCATTGGAACAATATTATACAGTTTCCTTATTGTTGTGCTAGTTGCTTATAGTTTCTTACTTCTAATTTACCCCCAGCCACAAGTAGAATATAAGCTCCATAAGGGAAATATTTTATTGTTGTTATTGTTCATTGATCTAACCCAAGTGTTTTGAAGAGTATCTGGCAAGAAGAAAAGCCTCAGTGAATACTCATTAAATCAATTAATAAATCACCATGATAAGGATAAAATGGCAAAGCCTTTGTGTGACAGCAAATTACTTATGCTATCATAAAAAGAAGAGTTAAAAGGTGACAGCTAGGGACTCCTGGGTGGCTCAGCAGTTGAGCTTTTGCCTTTGGCTTAGGGATGATCCCGGAGTCCCAGGATGAGTCCCACATCAGGCTTCCTGCATGGAGCCTGTTTCTTCCTCTGCCTATATCTTTGACTCTCTCTCTCTCTCTCTCTCTCCCCTCAAATAAATAAATAAAAATCTTTTTTAAAAAATGCTGACAGCTCA